TCACTCACTCACTCACTCACTCACTCACTCACTCACTCACTCACTCACTCACTCACTCACTCACTCACTCATTCACTCACTCACTCACTCACTCACTCACTCACTCACTCACTCACTCACTCACTCACTCACTCACTCACTCACTCACTCACTCACTCACTCACTCACTCACTCACTCACTCACTCACTAACTCACTCACTCACTCACTCACTCACTCACTCACTCACTCACTCACTCACTCACTCACTCACTCACTCATTCATTCACTCACTTTCGGCTACAGAGCATTTTATTTTTTGCCAATTTAAAGCAATGATATTCTGACACACACACACACACACACACACACACACACACACACACACACACACACACACACACACACACACACACACACACACACACACACACACACACACACACACACACACACACACATATACGATCCAGGGCGCCTAGTGGCTGAGTGGACAGCGCTCTGGATGCGTAGATCTAGGGATCCGGGATCGATCCCGGGCCATGGCGTAAACAAATGGGCAACGTTTCATTCACCCTGATGTCCCCTGTTACCTAGCAGTATATAGGTACCTGGGAGTTAGACAGTTGTCACGGACTGCTTCCTGTGTGTGTGTGTGGGGGGGAATAAAAAACAAAAAAAGTAGTTAGTAACAGTTGATTGATTGACAGTTGAGAGGCGGGACCAAAGAGCAGAGCTCAACCCCCGCAAGCACCACTAGGTGAGTACCCACCTCAAAGATGGTCGCTGAGTCCTACAGGTCGATGTTGGCGGACGATATAAAAGAACTGAGAAGACTTGAGCCAGCTGTAGAGTGCAAGATACTCCAAGATGACGTAGACAAGCTGCAGAGCTGGTCCGATAAATGGCTACTGGATTTCAACGCCAGCAAGTGTAAAGTGATGAAAATAGAAACAGGTGCCAGAAGATCAGAAGGACGGTACATATTGAAGGGGAAATTATCTCCCTGTAACTACCTGTTAAAAAGAAACTGGCAGTGGATATAACCTCTGAGTATAACCTGCTGATTATAGCAGCAACATACTCTACACTGTCAAAAGTTAGACCATCATTTAGGAGGCTAAATAAGGAAGCCTTCCCATCACTGTACACCACCTACGTGAGACCAGTGCTAGAGTTTGCTCCCCCTCTTCCCCCCCCCCCCCCCATCGTGGAGCTCCCCATCTCAAGAAACTTGAAAAGGTACAGAGGTTTGCAACGAAGTTCGTCCCAGAACTGCAACTGAAGGGGGGTATGAATACTAAAAGAATTGAGCCTAACGTCGTTAGCAAGGTCGATAAAGAGAGGGGGAGACATGATCAAGACACACAAATTACCTAACAGGATTAACAGTAAAAAAAAAAACGAGACGTTCGCAATGAATATCACTAGAACAAGAGGACGTAGATGGTGGCTTATCTTGAGGTTATCTTGAGGTTATCTTGAGATGATTTCGGGTTTTTTTTTTTAGTGTCCCCGCGGCCCGGTCCTAGACCAGGCCTCCACCCCCAGGAAGCAGCCCGTGACAGCTGACTAACTCCCAGGTACCTATTTACTGCTAGGTAACAGGGGCATTCAGAGTGAAAGAAACTTTGCCCATTTGTTTCTGCCTCGTGCGGGAATCGAACCCGCGCCACAGAATTACGAATCCTGCGCGCTATCCACCAGGCTACGAGGCTTAAGCTCAACAATACACAAATACCACTGATCAGGGTGTTGTGTCAACAGCTGAGTGTGCCACACCCTAGCCACTGTGGTGGTGAAGGGTGCCACACCCTAGCCACGGTGGTGGTGAAGGGTGCCACACCCTAGCCACTGTGGTGGTGAAGGGTGCCACACCCTAGCCACTGTGGTGGTGAAGGGTGCCACACCCTAGCCACGTGGTGGTGAAGGGTGCCACACCCTAGCCACTGTGGTGGTGAAGGGTGCCACACCCTAGCCACGGTGGTGGTGAAGGGTGCCACACCCTAGCCACGGTGGTGGTGAAGGGTGCCACACCCTAGCCAGGGTGGTGGTGAAGGGTGCCACACCCTAGCCACGGTGGTGGTGAAGGGTGCCACACCCTAGCCACTGTGGTGGTGAAGGGTGCCACACCCTAGCCACTGTGGTGGTGAAGGGTGCCACACCCTAGCCACTGTGGTGGTGAAGGGTGCCACACCCTAGCCACGGTGGTGGTGAAGGGTGCCACACCCTAGCCACTGTGGTGGTGAAGGGTGCCACACCCTAGCCACGGTGGTGGTGAAGGGTGCCACACCCTAGCCAGGGTGACGGGGAAGGGTGCCACTGTAACACCGTAAGGTGTTTGGTTTAGTTTTATTTAAAAATACATAGAGATACATGAGTCAGAGACAAGGATTTGAGAGGCGCCAAGTTGTCGGCCTGAGACTCACACCTCTAAGTGTTAATGACCTCAAGTGACCTGAGGTCAGATCATGTGAATTCCACCTTGCTTCTGCTAATCTGATAATTGGCCTTCAAACATGCCGACGTTTAAGGAGTGGCTTGGTAGAGTGCCTCGGGCTATCTACTTGTGGGCGGAGTTAGCTACTAGTTAGTTTCCCAATATATACTCGGAGAGCAGAGCATAGAGGGAGATAGGAGACGAGACAGCAGAGCAGAGGAGAAGACGGCCTAGCCAGAGGCTGTCAGCCGGCAGGGCGGGACAGTCTCTGTCAACTACAGACCCCCCCCCCTCCCCCTCTATCCAGCTATAGGCAGACACTTGGTGAGTTGAATATTAAGGTGACTTGGTCGTGTTTACAAGTGTTGTGTGAGGATCAGGGGCAGTCAAGTTGTAGGGTTCTCAAATTCTTGGATGATGACTCACTTTGCACTTTGTATCTTGAACATTAAGTTGAATGGCTGAAATTATGATACTTATCATGAAAAATATAATTGATGAATTTATTGGTTTAAATTGTCTTTAACTTTGTTCCCTAGAGTTTTTGAGTTGAGATGAGAAAGCCTCTGCGGTTTCATGATTTAATGAGTACATGATACAGATGGAACATACTACTAATGAATTCGTGTTAACATCTTTGAGAATTTGGTGATACAGACAAGTTCCATTCCTTGTCTTGTTGTAATGGTCTAGAATGGATGGTGGCAGCATTTCTTCTTCTACTATCTACTCTTCTACTTCTACTATCTACTCTTCTACATCTACCTATCTACTTCTCTCCCTCCACCTCTCTCCGAACTCTCCCTTTCAACTAATGACCCTCCTCGCTCCTCCCACCTCTCTACCTCTCTCACCCCAAACCCTCACTAATTACTTCATTATTCATCTCTTTCTTTTCGTTTCTCTTATACGTTTGTGGCAGTGAAGTGTGTTCTAGAGTTCTCTAGGGTTTCGGGTAGCTGATCCAGTTACTGCGCCTTGTAGTCTTAGCACCTAGGTAGTCAAATACCTAGGTTACAAGGTGTTGAACGAGAGAGGTTGCCTTAGGAACTCTGGGAGTGCTCTAGAATAGTTAGCTAACTGGGGACGGGATAATGGACAAGAGAGAGCTATTTCCCCCACCCCCCGTTACACCACCACCCTAGCCAGGGTGGTGGTGAAGGGTGCCACACCCTAGCCAGGGTGGTGGTGAAGGGTGCCACACCCTAGCCAGGGTGGTGGTGAAGAGTGCCACACTCTAGCCAGGGTGGTGGTGAAGGGTGCCACACCCTAGCCAGGGTGACGGGGAAGAGTGCCACACCCTAGTCAAAGGAGGCCGCCGGCTCATTATGCAACACATCTTCATAATAAAATATTCTCACAGTGTCTGCTCTGTTGGGTCCGTCTCTACCACCTGGCTCTCAGGACCACCTGGCCCTCAGGACCACCTGGCTCTCAGGACCACCTGGCTCTCAGGACCACCTGGCTCTCAGGACCACCTGGCTCTCAGGACCACCTGGCTCTCAGGACCACCTGGCCCTCAGGACCACCTGGCTCTCAGGACCACCTGGCTCTCAGGACCACCTGGCCCTCAGGACCACCTGGCCCTCAGGACCACCTGGCTCTCAGGATCACCTGGCTCTCAGGACCACCTGGCCCTCAGGACCACCTGGCTCTCAGGACCACCTGGCTCTCAGGACCACCTGGCTCTCAGGACCACCTGGCCCTCAGGACCACCTGGCCCTCAGGACCACCTGGCTCTCAGGACCACCTGGCTCTCAGGACCACCTGGCTCTCAGGACCACCTGGCTCTCAGGACCACCTGGCTCTCAGGACCACCTGGCTCTCAGGACCACCTGGCCCTCAGGACCACCTGGCTCTCAGGACCACCTGGCCCTCAGGACCACCTGGCTCTCAGGACCACCTGGCTCTCAGGACCACCTGGACCACCACCAGAGAGAGAGAGAGAGAGAGAGAGAGAGAGAGAGAGAGAGAGAGAGAGAGAGAGAGAGAGAGAGAGAGAGAGAGAGAGAGAGAGAGAGAGAGAGATCTACTACTATAAAAATAAGTCATTACCAAGAACCCATCATTTGGCTTCATTACCAATTAAAATTCCTGGCAGAGGTTGGCAAGGATAACAGTCATGATATCTTCCGAGAATATTGTTTTAATTGAGAACATTTCTGGGTTATCATTGGAGGCTGGTATCTCAGAGCATCTGAGCCGTCTTAGACTTGGTACCTGAGGTGTACCTGCCTCGTATTGACACCACCAGGCAGTCTTGGCTGTATATATAGCCTACATATGTGCGTTATATGTAACAAACATTCGCTAATCTAATTCAAACTTATATAGCTTTACTTCATCAGAAAACATTAGCCATAAGGGATACATTTTGCTCCGTCATGTATTTAAGGCATAGTAATAATAGAATGGTGCCGCCCCCCCCCTAGTTTAGAGCCTTGTGGGGGTACTCCACTCTGGTATCTGACTGTGAGCCTCTGAGTCGTCCCTGATAGGTACTCCCAGATACAATGTAAGGCTGTACCCCCGCCCCGTGAGAGGTAGAGGAGCCATCAGCTGACAGTGTTTGTGTCCCACAGGATGATGGGGAAGCAGACGAGTCAGGCGGTGGTGGTGGTGGTACTGGTGGCGGCTCTAACTGTCACTCTCACCGCTGCCCAGACCTTCCAGTACAGTCGAGGTGAGTTACACCTTTTTACACCCACTCACCGACACCCACTAAGCGCAAGCGTGCACCTATTCACACACATACACTCTACACATGTGCCTTTTCGCCTGCAGGTTGGACGAACGGCCGGAAGCGAGCGGACCCGGGTGTGGGTCTCGGTGTAGTTAGGGATGTGACCAACCTCTTGGCTGACTCCGCCCACCGCCCATCTCACCCACTCGCGCCCACACACGCCCTGCCCAAGGTTAGTGTATACACCCACACACGCCCACCCTAGCCATACCCCCATGGGTTGTATACCCAACAATAGGTATACAACAGCCATACCCAAGGCTCCCATGCCACGCGTGCCCGCTACACTCTCACAATATGGCGGACGGATATAAAAGGTGGATGCCCCGCCCCCCCCGCCCCCCCTCAGCGTGTTATATTAAAAATAAAAAGATCAAAATGTGAGGCTATTTACCTTTAAAGTTTCTATACGTTGCCTAAACAATTAACAGATTAGTTATAATTGGAAAAGGCGTGTCGCAGTGAACCGTGTATGTGTGTGTGTGTGTCCGGCCCTTGGTCAGTTATGTCAGGTTAAACACCGTTCACTTGGGCCAGTAACTGTACTGGTGGCTACATAGATTCGTCAAGCATTTTTTGCTAACTTACGAAACCTGTTCATCTTTCCTTAGTCATGTGATATTTTTACATTAGGTGATATTTCTATATAGTTTAGAGTATTGCGCTCTGGTTGTCGGTCCGGAGTGGCCTCTCCAGGGCGCAAAGCCAGGAGTAGGTTGATACGGAGGAAAAGCTGTTACCCATGCAGCAGGTCCGCCCCTCTAGATGAGCAATAACATGTCATTACACCAACAGAATATGGAGGAGCGGGTGCGGGTGCTGGAGGCCGGCCTCAGCGCTCTCCTCAAGGTCAACAGCGCCACCTTCCCCCCTGGCGGCGGCGACGACGACTACTACGCCGACAACTAACCTCCTTCTCCACCGCCACCATCACACATATCTAAATTTATCTCCATATATATATATATATATATATATATATATATATATATATATATATATATATATATATATATATATATTTCTGCATCGTGTTGTGATTCCCCTCGAATGTTAGATGATATTTATTGTGGTATAACTGCGTCTGAAAGCCATTTTTCTCTTGAAATTGCATCTCCAGACGAGTTATGAAGAACCACGCAGGTCTTTGAGGCGGTAAAGTGTGTATGTGTGTATGTGTATATATATATATATACACACACATACACACTACAGTATATGTCCTATCCTGGTTACCTTATTTTTTGCAGTTTTAACCCGACAATTAATATCAACTACCAGGGGTACCAACAACTACCAGGGGTACCAACAACTACCAGGGGTACCAACAACTACCAGGGGTACCAACAACTACCAGGGGTACCAACAACTACCAGGGGTACCAACAACTACCAGGGGTACCAACAACTACCAGGGGTACCAACAACTACCAGGGGTACCAACAACTACCAGGGGTACCAACACACACACACACAGTCTTGTGGAGCACCAAGCATGATCGCATGATTTGTTTTAAATAACCTTCACTGATTTATAAAATATTATTGTATTATGACTCAGTTTCCTTTCACCTAAATGTGTCTGGACTTTCACAGGGCACAAATATGGGGGTCAAAATATGGAAGTAATCTGTAAAAGGCACTTCACCTTTCTTCTGTTCGTTCAACTATCTGAAATTCCCTATTTTTAATTATTTTGTTTCCAAAACTGTTACTTGAATTCCTCATGATATTTGAATTGTACCTAAAACAACGTGTTTTAATTTAAAGCACTTGAAGCTATCGTTTTATTTGCATTAAAACTATATTATAATATCTCGAATCGCCATTTCCTATTAGTTTTACCCTAAAACCGTCACCTTAGCGGCTTCGTTTTAAAGTTTGTTGAGCCTGTACCCTCCCCCGACGATCAAACCCCTCAGAATGTTACATTCCTATTTGTATTATTAATCAACCCAATGACATTATATTCCACCAAGAATTGAGCACCATTCAGTCATCCTATCCCCCCATTCACGTGTTATATATATGTTCATCCTGACAGCGCTTTTTCCTAATTTCATTTCCAATCGTCAAATAAGCTTTCCAAGCCCTAAGAAGAGAGCCCCGTTTAAGATAGTCTACGTTATTTATACAAAGAAATTGTCTTTCCCGTTTTCACATTACAGAAAATGTGTAAGAAATAGAGGCTGAAACTTTCTTAGCTACTCATTTTCGTCAGAAAATGTTTCATCTTTGCGATGTAACGTCAATTTCCTCTTACAATGGTTGGGCGAAAATGTACCACACGGCCTGGAAATAAAAGGTGAATCTTTGCAATGGCTTTTATTAACCCATGTTCTTATATAATAATAATAATGGTATTAAAATAAAATAAACTTTAATATTAGTTATTGGTGGTTGTTAGTGTGTATATTATCATTGGATACAGTATAATGGTCTGTAAGGGATTGAACTACACTGGGTACAGTATGCTGATTAGGCCATATTTTCCTCAGCCACACTGGGTACAGTATACTGACTAGGCCGTATTTTTCTCAGCCACACTGGGTACAGTATACTGACTAGGCCGTATTTTTCTCAGCCACACTGGGTACAGTATACTGACTAGGCCGTGTTTTCCTCAGCCACACTGGGTACAGTATAATTCAAGACCTCACAAAGCCATCGATTACATCAATACCGATGTTATGTTACTTGGGACTACTCTACAAACATCCCGGGCTGGGACAGGGAGGCATGATTATATAGCACGAGGAAGAGATACGAGGACAGGATAGGAGACGGGACCACAAGATGGCCGGGATCCTGAGGGATAGGAAGGAGGGATGTTTGTCTGGACCAACGGTCGAGGGCCTGGCCCAAAAGGTGTCGACCAGCGAGCGCCAGAAACAAGACTTTAGATGAAGAACGTCCTCGATAAGTTCCTCCCATGTTCATTACAGAACCCAATAGGCTCTAGACCCAGCAGACCAGTCGATTAGGGGTTGTGAGGCGGGTCCCAAGAGCCGTAGTTCATCTCCTGCCAGTGTAAGTAGGTGAATAAATCCCCGGTGAGAGACACCAAGGAAGCTTGCAAGCCTGACATAATGAAATAGTCGGCGCAGACGCCGTAGACTTGTTTACTGTGATTCTCCACTATATTAAAGTTACTGTTTTCCAGTACACCTCAATATTCCATTAAAATGTCACTGCGGTATTAAGGCTAATTCCTACTCATAATTTATTATTGACCTCACTAGACTGTCATAGATAATTTCAGATATTATTGACCCATTATTTTACCTCACTATTAACATCACTACAAAATTCACAGTTGGCTTCACTGTAATGTCACTGTGTAACACCTAGTTTCCTTCATCACCAAAACACGTCATAATCGCTATTTGAACGTCCCCTTATCTTCCCATCAGAATATACTAATACACAGAATAACTGCCGGGATCCCCTGACTACTCCAGCACCGCCAGAGGGGGCAACTGGGCACTATTTTTGTCCCTTATTACTAGAATATTACCTCAACACTACGAACTACGGGCTCACCATAGCCCATGCTACTTGGAACTTTGTTCCAGGTAGCGAATCTTTAACAACAACAACAACCTCGACATGATCCTCCGCCACAGTTTTCCCTCTTAGATCCACCTCTTCAGATCCAGTAAACAAGGGCCAGATTCACGAAAGCACTTAGGCAAACACTTACGAACCTGTACATCTTTTCTCAATCTTTGGCGGCTTTGTTTCCAATTATTAAACAGTTAATGAGCTCCGAAGCACCAGGAGGCTGTTTATAACAATAACAACAGTTGAATGGGAAGTTTTCATGGTTTTAAACTGTTTAATAAATGTAACCAAAGCCTTCAAAGATTGAGGAAAGATGTACAGGTGCTACTAGAGGCAGGAGAGGAAACTATAAGAGGCGTGATTAGTAGATGCGTGTTTGTTTATAGCATACGTGGGTAGAGAAGGAGTGATCTTCTGACTTTTGCTGGCATGGTGTGACCTCCTCCCTCATAGGGAGGGAGGAGCAAGGAGGAGGAGGGACCACTCGTCCACTGCGACCACTCGTCCACTGTGACCACTCGTCTACTGCAACCACTCGTCCACTGCGACCACTCGTCCACTGCGACCACACGTCCACTGCGACCACTCATCCACTGCGACCACACGTCCACTGCGACCACTCGTCCACTGCGACCACTCGTCCACTGCGACCACTCGTCCACTGCGACCACACGTCCACTGCGACCACTCGTCCACTGCGACCACACGTCCACTGCGACCACTCGTCCACTGCGACCACTCGTCCACTGCGACCACTCGTCCACTGCGACCACACGTCCACTGCGACCACTCGTCCACTGCGACCACTCGTTCACTGCGAACACTCGTCAACTGCGACCACTCGTCCACTGCGACCACTCGTCAACTGCGACCACTACAAGATGATTGATTGATTGAAGATTAAGCCACCCCAAGAGATGGCAATGGCATGAATAGCCCGTAAGACCACAACATGACCACTCCCAATCCGCTCCCCCTATGCTGCTTCCCCTCTTACCCTTCACCTATCCTCAAACGCGTTTTTATCTTCAACTTTAATATTTGTTATACTGGCTCGGGGTATCCGGGCCCCGCTCCAGTGGAGGACGTATCGTCACTGCACTCGTCTTCATAACCGTAACTATCCTCACTACGCAGTCTTCATCACTGTAACCTTCATCACTGTAAAATGACACAGACATTTTCTGTCTGTGTCTGTCTGTCGGTGTCTGTCTGTCTGTCTGTCTTAAGAGCGTCGTGTACCCAAATTAAACAATAGTCTTTAAAAAGTTATCTCAAATGCCCATGAAAATTTTGAGCCGCAGGACATAATTTATTATTGTTATTATTTGTATTTTACCATTTTTTATATGGATACAGAACAAAATGTTTGGAAGCATTCTTAAATAAACTTGTTTAGGCAACCAGTAATTGTTCTAAAGTGTTTGCTATGTTTTAAAGTGTTTGATATGCTGCTGCTGCACCAACGATGACAAATATTTTATATCAGGCTTGTATAGAGTTGTTATGAGAGCTATACTACAGCACTAGTTTCATCGGTAAGTCTTTTCCAGTCTAGTTATACTTGACAAAGTTCATCACAGAAAACGAATGATTAGATTCTTATTTTAGTAACCCCTTCCAGGCGACTGTTGGGAAAACGAGTGTTAAGTATTTACTGTATGGTTCCTTAAGTGAATAAATATGTTTTAATATACTGTAGTCTAATCATGTGGTTAAGAGAACTAGACATGGGGGAAAAAATAGAAGCTCAGATGTTCCGGAGGGATGTAAATGATCAAGTGGAATGTTGTAAGTTTCCTCTGTACATGTGACAAAGCTCAATAATAGGATAGGACCCAGGAACTGTAGCTCAAGTCCCTACAAGCAAAGCCAGATATGTGTACACACACACACAGCCCAATAGGCTCAGGAACCTGTACACCTGTTGATTGACGGTTGAGAGGCGGGACCAAAGAGCCAGAGCTCAACCCCCGCAAGCACAACTAGGTGAGTACATACACAAACACACACACCAGGAAATATATATTACCTCAGTCGCCTCTCAACCCGCAGGCAGCCTCTTCCATCACCCTCAACATCAAATTGGCAGTAGTAATATCCTGTGACTATATCCTAGCATAGCCACGTGACAAATTACATAAACAAACCTCAATAATACGCAAGTGTTTGAATCCTATCGTCACTGATTGCACAGATGATTTATGTGAATGAATTCTGAACGATATATAATGAGAAGGGTGGCTGGAAAAAAGAGGTGAAGGTTGAGAGCTATTATGACCGAGAGCTGTTGAACTACTGCTGAGGTTACGTTGTCTGGGATTGTCTCTTGAGATTCTCACTCTTTCTCCTTTGGTCTTGTTCATGCCTACAAGCTCCCAGGCCAAGCTTTACATCCCAGCTCTACCCCCAGGTTCACACAAGCTCTCTGCCCTGCTCTAGGCTTAGTCTCGGCTATCACAACACGTTATTACGTCTCCAACAACCCGACTGCTGTAACCAAAACTATACTCAATCAGTATAAAAAACACTAAACTCTTTGTGTCTTATCACCCAGATACGTAGACGTAAACACACTTTACAGGGGAATACATGAATTTATATTCCTTCTTTATTATGGTCCTAAAGTTATCAGTTTATTGGTAGTAAGGTTAATCAGTTAATAGCAGAGCCTCGGCAGCATAGCCAGGTGAAACTCCCCCATGCACTCGAGCTATGTCAATAGGGCGCTCGGACATAGGTTCGAACCCTCGTCACAGCCCTTGTGGATTTGTTCATTTGATGCCTCACGCTATTGTGATTTGTGCGTGTAATGAAGTAAGGGCAAAGCAGTAGAACAGCCTATTGACGGAGCTTGGGTGCATGGGGGAATTTTGTAAATCCCTGGTGTATGTCTCGGAGAGACTGCAGGATCCATGGTAGGTCAGGATGATTTCCCGGTTGCAATTCTTTTACCATGTTGTAGCTCAGTCAACAAGGCAGCATCTGGGATCCTCTTGGACATAGGTTCAAACCCTCGTCACGGCCCTTGTGGATTTGTTCAACAATTTATATATTATTTATTTTAAGACTAGACTAGGCTAGGTTTATTTAAAGAGTACTGATGAAGTAGGATGGCATTGCTTTACGCTATTTTTGCACCTTACTCCATACAAAAGATAATGTTCAGCCAAAATAATCATCTCTCTTTGCCTAATCTAATGAATAATATTAACAAAACTGCACCAGCATGTGCTTGAATGGATAATTAAAAATATGAACAAATAATTTAGAAAACAAGTGAGCATTTACATATACAAATTCCTAATGGTTGCCAACAAGTGGTGGACCTGAATGTCCAACTGAATCTGGATATACTGTACTCTAATACCTTGAAAAAATAATTATGAAAATATGAGAATCCTTGAGCAGCTCCCAACACTTGCCACACCAGCTGATGAGATGCATATATGAGGGCATATACCATCACACATGTGTATACTGTACAGTACTATACAGCATATTAAATGTGCTAGTGATGTGTACATATATACAGTATATGTAATTAACCCCTACACTGATCGAATTGCTATCTGCAGTTTCTGCCTGTGAGAAAATCACCATGTGATTGATCCTTACAGAGTTTTCAATACTTTTAAATAGCTTAGCAGTTTAGGGATTAAACAAACCAACAACATAAAAGTATTGATGTGTGAACACTGTCATGTTTATTTCAGTATATCTGAATAGCTAACATGAGGAGAATGAGTAAGCTGCTCTAATAGTTAAAAATCATATTTCTTAATTATTTATTCATATGGTGATTTTCCCATACAAATACTGCATGTTTGTATGGCTTTATTAAATACTGTCATTAGATCAGGCAACAAAACATGACAATTTAGAATACACAAAAACTATTTAGCCAAAAGGTAATATACCTAAGAAATATTAACTCCATCGCTCTTGATGGGAACCATCAAGAATTTGAATCCACTTAACCATAAGTTTTATTAATTGTTAATTCACATGGTTATTCATCTTATTCTAATACATGTTCAAGCAGCATTATTAAATATTAGGAAATTGAATGCAATACATTTTTTATAAAAAACACCAAAATAAAGTCAGGGGCCTGATGGCTGAGTGGACAGTGCTCGGGATTCGTAGTCCTAAGGTTCCGGGTTCGATCCCCGGCGAAGGCAGAAATAAATGGGCCGAGTGTCTGTCATCCTGATGCCCCTTGTTCACCTAGCAGTAAATAGGTACCTGGGAGTTAGACAGCTGCTAGGGCTGCTTCCTGGTGGGGTGTAACAAAAAGGAGGCCTGGTCGAGGACCGAGCCGCGGGGACGCTAAGCCCCAAAATCATCTCGAGATAATCAGGGACGGAGCCTTTCCCAGTCTTTTCATGAAAAACCCCTCTAAATTTTTTTTATCCCCAGTATACTTCTATTATACAACATCAAGCCATGTTATGTTAGACTAAACAGCATTATCAGGTAAGAAAATATACTGTACTTTATATCAAGTGTTATATTTCACAACATAAATATAATACACTGTATTTGGGTGCATATCTTACTGCAAAGATATGCCTTGAATTAAATGTTAACATCAAAATTATGTGAAGCTGAAAGTCCTGTGCACAGTAGATAAAATATATTCAACCATATACACTTAATAATTAGAATCTGCTAGCAGGTCTTGACAAAAATATACTGAATATAAGATACTGTACATATATAGTCAGGCTACGGCACCTGCCAGGAAAGCATGACCTTTGCCGGGCTATTATCATATGTTATTTATTATTATTATGGAATTAGGGGTTGAAGTACAGCATATGGATGGAAACTATGAGAACACAATATAACAGTTGTCAAAAATATTCACAGACAAATGTATATATACTGTATATAAAATATGTAAGTAGGTCAAAATTTATAAAACGTCACATCAGGCCAAGTGTGATTTCTTGTGCTTAAAAATACCCTTAATATTCAACCACAAAGTCCTGTTACAAATGTCACACTCATACTTTTTCTTTGTAGGATCACCATCATTCCTATCTTCAGTCATGTCTTCAACTGCTTTTGAAGACTGCATGGCACCTTTCAAACACTGTGCCATGTGCCCTAAACGCTCAAGTGTCGTCAGATGGAACTCTTTGTCACAATATGGGCACACGGTATCGTATGAAGTGATGGTAGTAACCATACATTCAGTATCGAGCAAGCAATTGTAAGTTAGGAACGGTGTCAAATCAACTCCTCCTTTAATATCATTCAGCAGACATATATCATTGCCATCATCACTAAATGGATTTCCACTCAAGATACAATCACCTGGTCCTGGACCCTTGTGGAGAACTTTTATGTCTGCAGCAAGAAGACGACGCTGCGAGTAAATTGTCTCCGTTACGAAAAAGTCAACTAATCCAGCCATGAGATCTTTCTCTAATGTATTTGCTTCTGTTATGAGTCTGTCTTGGTTTTCAATGGCAGGTGTTGTGGCCTGTATTCTAAGATCGAGTAAATGTTTCCACTTTTGACGAAGTTGTACTGCTTGAAACACAAGATTCTGAGCTGACATAGCATCTGGGAATTTAAGTTCAATAAAGTTATCACATGCTATTACAGTTAAATCAGCATTACTGTCCAAATTGTGAGCAAAAAGTAGCAACACTTGAGCAGCTGGAACCCTCAAGGTATCAACAAGGTATGGCTTGTTTGTCTCCAATAGGGATACATAAGCCAGCAGCTGGTGCTTGGTGCTGGCAGGGTGTCTCGATGTGAACCCAGGCAACTCTACCAAGTCCGAGTCTGTGACCTGGAGCACTTCTGGGTTGCTTGCAAAAACGCTGTTTGGGTGTAGAACTGCAAATGGCTTCGAGGCTGTGTGAAAGAGCTGTTCTGATCCTGGCTTGTAATTATTATGTTCATCAGCTATTGCCACATTTGGGTACAGTCCACTACAAAGGATGATCTTCAGCACAGTCATGTCCTTATAAGATCGTATTGTAGAGTTTCGGTATATCTCCTGCAACTGTTTCTGATCATTCTTGATCCTGAAGTCAACATCCTTAATGTCAGTTCGACTGTCATCCTCATCACTTGCAATGCTCTCTCCTTGAGACACTTTGAGCACCTTAGCCGTCCGAGGTCTATCCTTGTGCAATTCCCTCTTCAATTCGCGAAGCTGTCTCAACTGACCACTCCTCTGAGCACGTTCTGCACTTGTCAAATGGGCACGAGAACAGCCAGCTATATCTTGAAGTCCTGAATCATGTAGCAGTTGAGCAAATTGATGCCGCAACTTTGTCATTTCATAAAAGCGCTGTTCCTCTAATCCTCGTCTTCTACACCACTTGCGAGAGTTTTCATGGCCCTCTTGTTTGACACACAACCATTCCCTAAGAAAAAAGGTACAATTTTACTATATATATGAAAATTAAAATAAAGCAATCCCTAAAGTATAATTTTTTGGACTCAAAGGTTACATGTCTTGCAACCCACTCATTTGCTGTGATACCGTCCGAGAATGTCATTCAGAAATAGATTCAAACACCGTGTTTGAATCAACATTAGAGATTCAAAGACCACATTAACAGATTCTCATCAAAGACCACATTACTATTTGATGATAACCATAACCCCTAGTACATGATAACGTCATCACATAATAAGCAATTACAATATGATAGAATTTGTTCATAAGTCTTTGATAACTCTGTTACAACAATCTCATTCCAAATCCTTATTCTGACCCCTTCCAAATGCTATACAGGGTATAGTCATAATGGCTTGGCACTTTCCACCTGATAGTTCCCTTCCCTTCAACAAGCTGGCACACCATGCCATTATGCACTAATTATCCAAGAATACCTCAACAGACACTTTCCCAATCCGTGGATTGCTCATGGAGGACCTTGACCTTGGCCTCCACATTCTCCGGATTTGACACTCCAGGATTTCTTTGAATGGGGGTTCATAAAAACAAAGGTTTATCGCCCAAGGATTAATAGTTTAGCTGAACTTAAATTACACATTCAGCTGGCAGTGTATGCCATAACTCACTCCTGACATGCTTCAAAATGTGTTTTGCAACACTAAGGTTAGATTTGAACTATGCAGAGATACAGATGGAGCACATGTTGAAAGTTCTCAACAAAAATTTGATTAATGCTTTATAAATATACCTGTTTTTCTATTATTAAGTAAAAATATGAAATTATGTAAGTTTTTAATAGATTTGTCCTATTTCATAGAAATAGATAGCTATTCCTTGGACACCCTGTATATTATAACCATATTTACATCATTGGTTAAAAGAGCCATAATAATGAAAATTAGTAAATGACAATGACTACAATGCCCCAAAAGATCAGCACCTCCACAGTAGTGTAAATTCCCTAACAACCACAGAATAGCATTAACACCTCCACAGTATTTCAATGGTTTCACTGAGGAATAAATCAGAAATGGAGGTTTTATGGGCCAGTTAGTGATGGTGATTAATATGTCAGGCTGCGAGAAGCAGAACCCAACAGTCTCGTTGACCAGACCACCATACAGGAGGCCTAGTCGATTCTTGGAATCACTGCAAGTAACTGAACGGTATGATTAAGATCTGCTAAAGATCATAAAGGAAAATTTCTTACATGAGAAAGAGAAAATGAGGATCTTAAAAATAAAATTCATCTTTTCACAAGGAAGCATTTTGCAGAAAGAGCAGGAAGTTGTCAGTTTAACAAAATAGTAACAACAGGAACTGACAAAATTGACACAAAAGAATTTTTTAAAATTGCAATTTCTAGAACAAGAGGACATGAGTAAACAAAGCTGCCAAAAAATGATTAAGTTCACTTTTGCAAACAGAGTGGTAGACGGTTGGAACAATGTTAGGTGAGAAGGTGGTGGAGGCCAAAACCATCAGTACTAATTTCAAAGCATTATATGACAAAGAGTAGTGGGAAGATGGGACATCATGAGCATAGCTCTCATCATGTAACTACACTTAGGTAATTAGCCACATATAGCCAATTTTCTAATTAATTCTTCAAAGTTAAATAACAAAATTTTTTCAAAAAGCATTACTGTACAGAGTTTCCTTCTCACCATTATTTATGCAAGAATAGTAACTTGTTTTATTTATACAATCTGACACTTACGTCTCAACATTGTAAAACACCAACAATAAATTATAAATCTTCCCCCCCCCTTTTTTTTTTTAACAAAGTAAACCCAATACAAGTTTATGTAGGCTATACCATCTGTACCTACCTGTAAGAGGCCAGAAGGGTGAAGGGGTCCCCATGATCAGACTCAAGGTTCTTAATTGAGGCTAAACATTCAGGATCTCGATGTGCTCGGTTAGTGAAAGGACTCTGTACACTCATGGCTGCTGAGAGTGAGAGAACTAGTTCTACCTGAGAGAAGAGAAAAGGATAATCATCACCATGGAAAGTAAGTAAGTAATATTTCTTGATGATCAAAGTGAATATGATATGAAATTCTATATACAGTATATAAACATACAGGGGCAAAAATCAAGAGGTAAATGTGATGACACCCCACATTTTCTGGTGGACTCTCAGTAGCTTCCCTCAACTATTTGCTGGTCTAGTCTAGTACAGTATATAGGAAATGCACCAAGGTTCTTAGACCCACCCTTGCTTACCCGGAGATAAGGTAATTCTCAGGAGAAAGCACTAAGCCATTATGGCTATATAGCACTTGGAAGGGATAAGGATTTAGAACAGGACAAAGAAATGTGTCCAACCACTAGGATGGTCGGGGATTGAATTCTGATCTGAAAGAAGCGAGATTGTTGCACTACCATCCAGTCCAAGGTACTTGTAATTATTGCCTATCAGGAGCCTGAACCAAAATCTGGCTCTTTATTTAAGAGGTGTGGTGTGCTTAGAGATCAGATCAACCTAAACCCCAAGAAAACCCACCAGAAAGCAAAAGTGTAACAAAACAAGCAACTGCTCAAAGAAAATTTTGTACTTAGATGTAACAAGGCACATGATTGTTGCTGTGGGCTAAACACCCTAACTGTGAAGTGTCTGACTGCCACCAGGTTACAACCCAAAGGTGCCTGAGGCTCCATCCAGCCTGCCCCTCATTCATGACCCACTGAAGCCAAAGCATCCACCAGTTGGTAAAAAGAAGGGAACAGGGTAGGGATGGGAAACCTGGTGGTGCACTGGTATATCATAAATAGGGCATTCATTCCCATACAGTAGCAACAATTGCTTTCCTCGTTACCTCGGAATACAGAACCTAATTTTCTTCAAACTGTTTCTTATTTTGTTGTGCTTATGTTTCTAGTATTCTTTTTTGTTTTTTGGTTGATCTTTAATCCCCACATGCCCTTCGCCTCATCGAGATAGATTCCGATTCTGGCTCCCATTGAACAAGGGTGTCTCTGTAGAGTGGAACATCTCCCAAAGGCTTGGCTGGACCAGTGCTTAGCTAGAGGATGCTACCAAGGGGGACCCCTTCTAGAAAATGTATGTGATACAGTATTCACAAACTGGCACTACACAAAAAAAAAGAGAGGATATTTTCAAGAATCATTAATTCAATAATGAGATAATACTGACCTGGTGGAAGAGAGAGCCCATAATCAGCATCTTGCCAAGACTCACATCCATGGGTAACTGAGAGAGGAGTTTACCAATGGTAGTCAACCCCTCTGCTTCTGAAACAGCCGCTTGAGCCTTTAGAGAGTATAAGGAATTTTCTAAACTCTCTATAGCTGGAGGTTCAATAAATGGGAAGAGTCTAATATTCGGCAATCCCATTGAAATCATCTGAAGGACAAGAGAATCCAATGGAACTCGCTGTATCTCTGGAGTACTATACTGGGAAAATGAATTATATTCCTGTTCGGAGTACAAACGAAAACAGGTTCCTGGGCCTGTACGACCAGCTCTTCCTTTCCTTTGCTCTGCTGAAGCCTGACTTATCCAAAACTCTTTTAATTTCCTCATCTTAGACTGAGAATCATAGCTCATTTCCTTAACTTTTCCAGAGTCAACAACAAATCGAACACCATCAATAGTAATTGACGTTTCAGCAATATTTGTAGAAACTATGCATTTCCGAACGCCTTCTGGAGGAACATCAAAAACCTTTTCTTGCTCAGAAACAGACAAGGTACTATGCAGAGTCAAGACAATCCATCTGTTTGTCTGCAAAGCATAAGTCTTGACTTCTTCTACAACTGTTGATATCTCACTCATGCCACTCAGAAAGATCAACAAGTCACCTCTTTCATCATCCGGATATTTGCTATCTATCAATTGAAGAATTCGTACATATGGTGCAGGATTAATTTTCTCTCTTTTACTGGCTATCTCTATGGATGGAATTGGAAAATACTGCAGTGTGATTGGGTACAATCTGCCTGGTACTTGAATTACAGGGGCTTTGCCCAAAAAATAATTTCGAAAGAGGTCAATATTGATGGTAGCACTCATCAACACAATTTTAATATTTTCCCGCTGCATTAACAAACATTTCATGACCCCTAGTAAGAAGTCTGTGTCAAGGTGACGTTCATGAATTTCATCTAGAATTATTACATCATACAGAGAGAGTGAACTATCTACTGACACCTGTCTCAAAAGAAGACCCTCTGTCAGAAAAACTATCCTCGTATGCTCCGTTTTGTTTTTCTCAAACCTTATTTGATAGCCAACTTTTGAGCCAAATTCATTTAGGGTTTCATAAGCAACTCGCTTTGACAGAGATATGCAGGCAATGCGTCGTGGCTGTGTACAAGCAATGTTCAAAAAACCAGCCGCGAGCAAGTACTGGGGAACCTGTGTAGACTTACCACAGCCAGTGTCACCAGCAATTATCACAATATTGTTTTTCTGAACTGTAGAAATTATCTCTTCTTTGTAATCTGCAATAGGGAGATTAGCCTGTGAACTGCGCAACTTTTTTAACTTTTCAAATCTTTGCTTCTGCATGAAGTCTAGATAAAGTAAAATAATAAATTTAATTTCAACAAGCTTCTTCATGGAGAGTCGCTTCTTGCCATCTTCTAAATCTTGTGGAGGCAGTCTCCTTCGTAAGTCATCAATATCTTTAAAATTAAGGGCAAAATTTATATTGTACCTTTTGTCATATTGAAGTGGTAACTGATAAACTAAACTAATGCTCCTCCCTTCACTACTGTCTTTAGTATGGTTGCTAGTGCACATCTCTCGAATCTTTTTTTGTTTCTGCAGTCCATGATATTTTTTAAGAAACTTCCAAAAGTCAAAATATTCCTCACTTCCTCTTTTAATAATATCTTCATCTCTGAAAAACATCTGATTAAGTTCGTAGCGATGGTTCTCCCAATCAAACATGAGCTCATCTTCTGAATCTGCATCACTTTCACTGCTCGAGCTTCTTTTCTGTAGTGTCAAGGATGTTTGTGGGTACATTTGACTGTTTAATGTTGAAGGATGTAAGTCTGATTTTGGGATTTCAAACTTATGAGACTTCACTCTCTCTGCCGTTACCTTACATTCACCAAAGGAAGCTTTACATGGAGACATGGACCTTGATCCTTTTGTAGTCAAATGTCTTGGGGATTTGGACTGTGACAGATCCCTTGGCCTTACTCCGCCTCTTGAACTCTGCCTAGGCAGAGACTCAGATTCTAGCATATCACTCAGTCTTGCTCTACTGAAATTTGCCCTAGGTGGAGATGTAGATTTTGATTGATCACAAGACTCAACTCTACTTTTGTACAATTCCTCTGATTGTGCCAGTGATCTTGGCTCTGAATCTGAACTAGAGCTGCTTGCCGAGCTTGAACTTCTTACAGAACTTCTTTCATGCAATCTAGATACTTTTTCTTTACAAGTTTTTTTTCTCTTGTGCTTCTTATGTTTTCGTTTCATCCTCTTCCTTTTTGTCTCCCAATGAGGAGATCTTGATGAAGACCTTTCTCTTTTGGAATGACCCATACTTCCAGTTGTTGTTTTTATCCAAGAAATTTTACACTTTCCTGTTTTATTATCACAACTTCACCATACACTATGTCCCCCAGTCAAAGCCTTAATTTCATAAACTATTTTTAAGGATCGATTTACAAATTCCAACTCTTCATTTATTCCTTAAACTTCCACTCTTGTCGACACATTGGGCACTGTTGGTGTAACTGTTGCGACTGCAGCCACTTCATAATGCAGTGAATGTGGAAGCAGTGTGAGCATTGACCCCATACTAGAGGACAGTCATCACCTGGCAGTCGGCAGTCTGAGCAACATCCGTCAAATGGCATTCGGCAAATTCCACAGCTGTCATCATTTGCTACCCATCGCCAAGTTGCTACCCCTGTCCAGGACTTAATCTTTACCTTCATGACCTGTAAAAATAAAGGCAGGTAATTAAATCAATGATAATCTATGGTTTTTATTTTTAAGTACATTACTTATATTTTGGATCTTGGGGAAGGCATCTCTGGCTTTTTATTCCAGCATATTTAACTCTTCATTAGTACCCTTGGGTGTCCCTTGTGTGCCTGAACTTTGCAAGTAACCTTGGGTGTTTGCTCACCCAAGAACAAATTACTGAAAAAAAATGTATGCTGTACTACAGTATATCACATAATATTATATTTATATAAAGAATGATAATGTCTTCTCATAGACATAACAAACAATAAAAAACCACACTTGACTATTTGTGTATTCTTTACATAAATTTCACAAATACACAAGTGTGGTTTTTTTTCCCTATTATATTCATAGCTAAATTATAATTGATGAAAGTGATAAAAATGCTAAAGTGAACATAAAAGTTCCTGTATTCGATACCCATGGAGGTTTAGGCATATTTTTTTTCACTTCAAGCTAAACTGTTCTTTCACAACAGTAAATAGGTACCCATGTGTTAGACAACGGTTGTGGGTTGCATCCTGGAGAAGGTCAGTCACTGCCCTAAGGAGACCTCGATAAGCCTCACAGGTTTCCTGTTCCTGACAATGGGAAACCAGAGCCATATAGTTATGGAAGAGGTAAGAGTACTGGTACAGAACAGAAATGTGGGCAACTTGCAGATGTCGATGAGGTCCAGTAAACCATATGTAGTGGATAAATAGTAATGGAATGAGAGTGGAGGAGTTCCCAGAAGGCTTGGAAGTTGCACTCCCTTAGATGATTTGAATAATAATAATAATAATAAATAATAAATATAAAACCAACATGTACTGTATTATTATTCAATAAACATAATGGAGGGAGAGATATAGTGAATGTAAGATTGGAGAGTACTGTATATGTTTTAGTTTTATTACATATTTTTAAATTATGAAAATAAAACATGTGACTATTTTACTGATCAGACAGTAGCCTAACTGGGCAACTGAAATGGAAAGTCATACTTGTATATATGTTTACTTGTTGTTTCATGCCTTTATCACATGTCTGATTAGTCAAGACCTGTGTGTTAAAAATTAACTTCCTCTGTAATTGTCATACTGAACAAGTGTTACAATGAGATGCTATATAATAAATTACAGAAAATTTAAAATAAATAATTTAATGATCGCTAATACATAAGCCTAGCTAGTGCTAGAGACATACCAACATCTACTAAAATAAACTTTAAAATTATATAAGTGTGCCTGTCTCCAAAATGGATCCAACAGTTAACTCAATGATGTCAAACCTTACATACAGTATATAACAACCTTTTATATTTTATATTCGTAAGATCAGATCATATTACTCTCTGGGCAAAGTGTAGGACTTGCCTGGGTGTTGTCGTCAAGAGTCGATTTAGGGAAGCTGACGATCCTAGGATGGGATGCACCCCAGCTAACCGGGTTCAGGAAGTGTCGAAATGGCTGTATAACCTTACAATGTCTTCAGACGACGGATCTTTCCGATGAAACGGAAATTTTACCACTGAATCTGCTGTCTGGTGGAGCGAGGAAGAACATCTGCACGACACCAACCCCGTCTGTTGTTATTGTTGACTGAGGGAGGACGAGGGCACATCTTTATAAACTCACCGAGATGGCATACCCTTACTTAATGCATAAAAGTAGAATTAATAATGTTCTAAATATATGCAACAATAATCAGAGTTATCATAATTATTTATGTATGACGTTTATTTATTAATTTTTGAAGAATTGGTTCATCAGAAAAGCTGCAACACCGGCGACGACCACAACATAAACACACAGGCTCGCAGGTTCCTCCTGGAGTCTCTCAACAATTGTCTGGCCTTCAACACTACAACACTTGCAGTCTACGGGTTGAAAGCAAACCCTCAAGCATCTGTAGACGCGTGATAAGTGGAAGAAGTAATAGGTTTCGCTTTGCGGCATCACAATGGACAATTCATCATGGACAGCGCCCCCAGGGGCGGCCCAACCCATGGGGATCCAATCCACAGCAGGAGCCGTCCCTATTATGAACGATAAAGGTCAGTTTTGTATTGTTAATTAAGAGGAACATCAAATGCATTACTTTTTTGCTTTTAGTTGCCACCTTGGGTAGCATTATCTAATATTTTGCATTATTAACCCCATTTACTTCCATTGTAAGTACTCTAGAGTTTTTTGTCAATGGCTTGGCACAGTAGATGATATTCATATCACAAAAGTTAAATACTATTGGATCTGGCCATCACTACATATAGTCTTAATGGCTTGGCACTTTCTCCTGACAATTCTCTCCCTTCCCCCCCTCAATGAGTGACTTCACCAGCAATTTTGCTATTGACTAGGGGGGGACTGACAAACCTAATAAGCTTTCTGTACTCAACAAACACTGCATGTTAATGGCTTTGCAAGAATGTACCATTTAATCACCAAAATATATACACTCACAGCCTATTGTACTGTTTTTGTATTAAGGATTTCATATTACATTTGGCTTCATTCCTGACTTGCAGTCAGGCAACCTGTCCTACAAAAAATATCTCTTCGTTCGTATTCATTACATAATGCCAAATATTGTCGTACAAGAAAATGGAAGCGGTTCACGAAAGTTACGTACTGTCCTGTTTTCCGTTTTGAGTCCTCTGGTAGGTTGAGAGAGCACTTTAAATTGATTTTTTCTTGACATTAGGTAGCCTTAGGAGGAAAGGCTGAATCAGGATCCCGGGTTCAGTTTTCAGGCGAGACAGAAGTGGTAGACACATTTCCTTTTGCCTAATGCCTCCATTCACCTAGCAGTAAATAGGTACCTAGGAGTTAGTTTAAATTAAACTAAAACAATTTAGTTTAAAGTTTTGGTGAACCTTGTTGGTACTAGGACCAGAAATGTTTTGTTTCACTCAACTCTTTTGGTAGTGAGAACAAAACAAGGAAATCTCGGCTCTAGTCTGCATATTAAAAATATTATGAAATCGTAAAGAAGCAAACTGTATATTATTTTAGGTAAAATCTGTAAGACTTATTTCACAAACTGAAAAATTGACACTGAATGTGTGCAGGGAGTTAAGGATTCCCATGAGGTATGATTGGTCTTATAGGTGAACAAAATTGGAGTTGGTGAAGTGCAATGCACTTTGGTGTATGGTCATGTTAGTAGGCTGCCTGAAAATCATTAAACGAGAATTATGTACAAGGATGAAATATGACGATCATATGATAGATCCAGACAATCAGTATAACAATCGGTATGTATTTTAAGAGTGGAGAATGGAATATTATATGAAAGAAAGGGTGCCATGGTAGATGTTAATGAGCTTGAAAGAGCGAAGGGTTTTTGTGATTGACCTCCTCGAGAAACTCCTGTTAAGGTCACTTTTTGATGAGCTTCCGAGACTAAAGCATTGAGGCCATAGATTTCTGAAGTCAGCAACAGCAGGTGAAACAGACAGCTCCCAAGTCTGTTCCATCTATTCAGGCAGATCAGCAGCATAATACAGTTTTCACTAGATTTAATATTTATATATATGGTTCTTTCACACAGGCGAGGTATCGATGAAGAAGGTCAAAGTGCAGCGCTATGTGAGTGGCAAAAGACCAGATTATGCCCCAGCCTCGTCAGATGAAGAGGAGGAGGAAGATGAAGATTTTACCAGACCACGAGGAGCTGCCCCTCCATCTCCACAGCAGCATAAGTCTCTCACCGAGGCAGAGATGGCTGACCCTAGGCTGCGGCGTCTTTTGGCAAACCAACAGCAAGAAGAAGCAGTAAGAGAGGAAGAAATGGAAACAGATGTTCCTCGTCGGAGAGTAATACATCAGGTAAATTATTTTTTCTTTCTTTTCATCTCGTTAACTGATTTTAGTCTGAGATTCTAAAGAACATTTTGATTAAAGTATTTATTAGCTATGGTGAATATAAATATAAAAACACCAAAAAAAAAAATCTAATTTTAAATCAAGTTATCAGGAATTAGGAATCTTGTGACATTTGTTGATTCAGCAGTAACATTAATTTAGAAGTTGAGTCTTTAATCCACAGCTTTGTGAATCAAAATACTGTACTTGTATCTGAAAAGAAAGAGAGGGAGTCATGCTTTGTTTCAGAAACCATGGGACATTCTATATGGTTTCAAATTGCATCAATAAAACAAAAAGAAAAGCTTTGCAGATTGTGACAAATTGCAGAAGTTTAACATTTTCCAAAGTTTATTAACATCACCAACTAAAAACAAATTTCATAGCCTTGAGATTGTCAAGGGCTCAAGACAGTTGATAAGCCTCACTCCAAATACTTGGAAGGGAGTTAAATGTCTAGCATTGATATGATGTCAGAAGGAATGTTAGGAGTTGTGAAAAGATTCTAACACTAACTGAGCTATGTAAACAACTTGAGAAAAGTACATTTTCCTTATTAATGTTTCTCATTTATTTTTATTGCAAATGTTTTGTTTGGATGAGAAATTATATCTTATAAATACTTATAATGAGTTGTGTATTCTTAATGTACCCCCCTGTACTCAGACAACCAAATTCTATTATAATATATAGTACTGGTATTTAAACATATTTGTTCATGTGTAAACAGGCAGAGGTTGTAGAAGTGAGTGAGGAAGAGAAGGAAGAAGAAGAAGAAATGGAAGAGGAAGAGGATGAAGAAACAGAAGAGAAGGAGCCTACAATGAAGCCAGAAATGAGAACAAGCCATCGTTTGGCAGAGTCTGACAGTGAATCAGAAGACGAGGTCGACGAAGATGAATTAGCACTGCGTCGTCTCAATCTCCGTCAACGAGCACTGCAAAAGATTCAGCAAGAGGAAGAAGTAAGTAACTCTTCTAAAACAAATTTAAATATGACAGTAATAAAAAAAAATATATCAGTGTACTGACCTAAAATTATTTTTAGATGCAATATTTCAAGAAACAATATTATAGCTATGAAGTTTGGCCTCTTAAATGATATCCAGATTGCTGATCATTTCATCTATCCCTCTGTATGTTTGACCTTTTCTCTTATCAAGCTACCTCTGAGGGGATGTCTTTGGTTAGAAAGCTCCTAATCAACTATTTATAAAAAACATGTAGTCTTATTATTCTTGTTTATTCACTTTGATCGCCCCATTTTTTACCTGAATTTACCTGAGGGACACCATCTCACTAGTGGTTCACTAGTGTGTGGCTGTCCACCTATCTTCACGTGTCGATTATTTTAATGATGTTTGAATTTCTGCTGTGTGGGAGTCATGTTGTGGATGCCCTGGTTGTTCATTTCCATCTTTCTTCAAGGTGGCTGTATGAGGGGGTTTTTCAGAACTTTCTGGGTCTCTAGCTGGTGTCTTCATTGTCAGACTGTGGTGCTGCTTCCTTCCTGCCTCTTTAATGTTAAATAGTGACACCTTGTATCACCTTGGCTTTTGCCGAGCCATTTTTGTTGGCTATCATTTGGCTTTATCTTTCACCCCATTAGTCAGACTGGGCATGCCTTCTTTTACTCTTAGCTGGCACATGCTCTGCTTGAGCCTTCTGGAAACATCATTTCACGTGTTGAAATTTTCTGTCTTCAGTTCAATTTTTGGTGTTTCAATCATCTCGGGCAATCTTCCAATTTACGCTGGCGATGGGCAACCATGTGGTCAACCTTCCCAGAAATACAGATTTTAGTGTAATGATTCACTCTTTTGTGAATGGCACCTCAGTAGCTTTCCAGTCTCATCCGTCCTCCCTTCTTCCCTGTAGTTTCCTTTTTGTTTAGTTTCAGGCACTGCAGCTTCAGTATGAGGTTGCTGGAGGCCTTAGGCACTAGGTCCACTACCTAGTGGTGAACTGGAGAATTGTGGGGATGGAGGGGTGGGGGTGTCCTGACTGTTTACAGATTTATGTTTTGCAGTTTTTAAGATCAAATAATTTTTGGTACAAGTTTTAGGTTTTTACGAGGGTCCTTTATTAATTCTTAATGGCAGTTGACTTCCTGGGGGGGGGGGGGAAGGCAGTTGAGCTTTGATTCCCATATGCTCCCTTCCCCATGGAGATAGTAAATCAGATAATAATGTTGGCTGAAATTGTCTCTGAAGCCTAGCCAATCTCTTTTTGACATTCAAAAAAGAAAATGATAAAAACTTCAAAAAGGTATCTGGTTAACTGGGCTGTGATTCCAGACTGCATGCAGCAGTGTCTTCAGAGTTGACTAGACTGTCAGACACCAGGTCCCAGGTACATTGATCCTTGGAACTAACTCAAGATAACCTCAAGGGAATCAACCGAGTGCCACGTAGAAATAGGTTCCATTACTCTCGGTACTAAAAAAAAAATTGTGGTTGTTATTCAGCATTCAGGGTCCATAGTTAAATACTGTACTCAAATATTAAAAAAAAAAATTGCCAGAAATAACTTTAATGAAAATAAATGTCTTAGTTATTAGGAAAAGAAGATGAAGGGAGTGAAGAATCATCAGAGGAAGAAAGTTCAGAATATTCTGAGGAAACAGACTCGGAGGAAGAAGGGCCAAGATTAAAACCAGTCTTTGTACGGAAAAAGGACCGTGTCACAATACACCAGAAGGAGCAACAACAAGCCAAATTCAAGCAGGTAAAATCTGAGTATGTTTAATTCAAACCAGGGAAAAACTTTTCCATCTGCAGAGAATGTTTTACTAGTAAAATTAAAAAATTTCAGCCTTGGCTTAAACACAATACATAACAGGTGAAACCTTTTTTACTTACAACAAAACTTTATCGGGATCTTTACACGTATATTAAGTGAATGAGAAGATCAACATGGTATATTAATCTATCTAGAACAAGCTCAGTTTTGAATATCTCCTTGTTTTATAACATTTGTATCACTGACATTGGCATATTTTGATATGATCAGTTGAAATCAGCCAAGTTCCTTAAGTTTGTTATTCCATTCCAGATAGCACTGCATTTGAGAGTCTATTTACACACTGAACTTTGCTGAATTTATTTTCTTAAAAGTTTATCAGTTCTCTTCACTTCCTGTTTGTATCATAATTATTTCACTTACCAACATTACACACTTCTACATATAGACTGTGTTATTCAGGTCAAAAATTAAGAGTCGCCTAAAGTTCCAGTGAAATATATTTCGTGTCCAGTTTGAGCGTCTTTCTCCGCCGTGTAGTTACCTTTCACATGGTGCAGCATGAACACATTACTAATAATAAATTAACTTGTTGATGTGTTTTAAGTTCTGTTCCATAGTAACCTTACAAATAAATGTATAAATACCACATATACCTTACCAAAAATGAATGAAATCTTAATCTTAGAATTTAAATTGTAAACTTTTGTACAGGACATTACAAGACTGAAAAAAACTACAATTAAGACTCAAACTATAAATTATGCTTACTGGTAATTATATTAAGCAAGCTTTTAATAATATAATAATTTAAATTTAATTTCTGACATTTTCTGGGTTGGCTACCTCAGTAGCTTTTCAGAGCTTAAGCATTGGTACCACTAAGCCATCAGGTTGCACCAGGCTTCTGAGAATTGAAGAGGGAAATGAGAATCATGGATCAACTAAAAACCAACCAGAGAAAAACCATCAAATGAGAAACCAACAAGAGCCAACTTGTTGACTCGTGTTGGACCTGGTTTTCACTTGGTTTTCTTGTTGAAACCAACAAGAAGAAAAAAAGGAAAATATTACAAATAATAGTAGGCAAAAGGGTTGCCATTAATGGGGGAGCTACTCAGAAATCAAAATAATGAATGTAATAAAATGCCCCTCTCTGGTCAGCCTTCAGGAGTGCCCCATTATTGCCTTCTTATCGCTGCCTTTCCTGTGGAGGTTTAGGGATTTCATACAGATGAATTGTTAGCAAGGCAGGTGGTGGATTGGAAATGTAGGTAACCTGTTTGGCTGTCTTGATTGTAACTGGGCAAGTGGGAGCTAGGGGGGGGGGGGAGGTGTTCACCCATTGTCTATTATCATTTATCATTTGTATATTTTTGTTTACACTATTTTGCCTGGACTTTTAATGGCTTATTTTTTTATTTTTTTTATACGATATCTGATACTGTATTATTTCCCTCACTTGGTTCAGCAACCCAGATTTTAGTCCTGGTTGCTAAGGTCTGCATAAATCTTGGGAGCCTGATATAACCTGAGTGCTTAGCAGTATCAGCACTTTAGCTCCTGGGAGCTACTGGGGGGTTTGATGAAGGAGTGGTGTTCCGTTACATTCAGTGCTTGATTTTCTCATTATAATCAATAATGACGATTATCGATTATAATTATCATTATGGATTATAATGATTATAATCGTCATTATAACTTCCCACTTTCAGAGGGAGGGGATGCACTTGTTTGATAATGGAATAGTATTTTCATCCCAACACGATATATACCAAATGTCGTGTGGATTCATATATACTGTACTGATTTTTTCTTTTTTTACACCATCTGTATTTCAGCAAGAAGTAGAAAATCGAAAAAGGGTAGAAGAACGACGGCGCGAGACGCTTCGAATGATCGAACAGGAACACCGGCAGGCAGCTACACTGCGTAACGCTTTAGATAATAATGACCCTATGAATGCCATCAACACAGATGATGAAGCTGATGATGCAGAGTATGAAGCTTGGAAGCTAAGAGAATTAAGACGACTAAAGAGAGATAAGGTATGTCTTCAAATGTATTTTTTAAAAGCTGTATTAAAAAATTTCTTTCATTTGGTAGTCTGCAGCCACCTTGTGTGTGTGTTAAATTACACCTTCCTTGAATGGGTAGCCTAAAGTAGATTTTTCTCGAATTGAACTTAACAAAAATCCAAAGGTTTTTAGTTGAACACCAGCATTCGAAGCAACCCTGAAAAGAAGACAAAATGGAATGAAAATTACTACATAAAGAAACTTGATAAAGATGTACAAAATATGAGTGAAGTGCACCAGAAACATCCTTACAGAAGCACTGAGAAATTAAACAATGGGTTGAAATAGGGGGGGATTTAAAAGGTTTGTTTTTGTATTTTTCAAATAAGAAAAACATCAGTTCTTTCCATCTGTACCATTAAAAATTCTTAAGAGAAATGGCAAAATATACAAAATATACTCGAGCATTGAGAGTAATACTGTATAACGTTGCTTTTTTAACTCGGCCTCGGTTGCGTGCCAAGTTTAGGCATAAGCCACTGCTTATCAACAGAGACTTGTCAAATAATTACATTTATTTATTACAATTACTTGGCTCTAGAGCATAGTTAATACCTGATATTTTAAACTTAACATCAATTATACAATACAGTGACATACTGTAGATCTCATTATATTTTATAAATTGCATGATATAAAATACATAACATGTGCTATACAAAAATTGCAGCTTTTTCCCCATTCATATTTCCTCGGTGACTTTCCATTCATATATCTTAATTTTAGGAGGAACGTGACGCAGCAGAGAAGGATCATGAAGAAGTCGAAAAGTTGAGAACTATGGGAGAGGAAGAAAGAAGAATTGAACTTCGAAATAATCCAAAGGTTTGTAGTTGAAAGTTTCATTTGGCTGTACAACAATGACAAGTTTAGCAGATTTTGTTTTTGATTTAATGTTTCTGTAGTTCACAGGGATTAACCAAATTTTATTAAGTCTTGGTAGGTTATGTTTTGCAGATCATTTTATATCAGCTGAATTACCGTATGCGAGTAACTGCCTAAAAAATGGATTATTTCATCAACTCATTGAGAGCACATGTCAGTAATAGCATGACAGGCTATGAATTGTGTGCTTCATGCCAGAGTTGATTTTAAACCGCTTCCTGTGCTACTAGCAGCCATCTAAACTAGTTTGGTACAATCCTAGCACGACTTGAATATGATGCAAATATGTACCCTTTAGTCTCCTGCTCACAGTATGCAAACTTCAAAAAAGAAGTTGCCAACATTGGGCGCTCAAGTAATATAGAGAAAACCCATCATTGAATATAATGAAATGCCTTTTTCTGGAGAAGCCGTGGTGGCTCCCGGAAGTTATTTTGCTAAGATTACTCTGTACTAAAAGGTTACATGGTCAGGACGTCAGGAAGTTCTGTTTGGCCTGCCGGTGACCACAGTCAGATTCTGGCTCCTCACACAGGCTCAGGGAGCAAGTGACAATCTGCCACTCTAATGGTAAAAGCCTCCAAAAAGTCGGCGAAGCTTTACAGACAACTAGAGGATTCCCAGAAAATGATGCTTCAAAACAAGTAAACAACTCTGCAAATAAATCACACAGAACAAGGAATTCACTGGAACTAGCTCAACTCATTACTACTGATTACCACCACCACTAGGCAGCCTGGCCTCAGCCCTCAGCCAGCTTCCTTGGTTATTTATGGAGCTGATTAACAACCCAACAATAAACTGATGACACCAGGAGTTCCTCCAGGAGGAGGCATTTCATTGCATTCAAATGTGCAATGGGTTTATTCAAATCCAGCATATTCAAATATGCTGGGTTTCTGGAGGGAACCTAACAACCACCGAAAACAAAAACGGGACTTTCCATGAAAGAGAAGACGCAACAGGCACTAGGACGAAGAAGAGAAACCAGGCAGGGACACATGGCCCAAAGTAACACACGACCAACTGAGACCATAAACATTGGCTCAATACTGGGCCACCAGAACCCTTTTAGAATGGAAAACCCTCGAGTCCAAATATTCGCCTAGGACATGTTGGAGAAGACTGCTGCTAAAGCTGCCTATTTGCACTCAACATGGGCCTCGGGGTAAACCGCAGGCTGGTTAGACTCAATGACACTGTGGACAACCTGAGAAATGAGAGTTGTTTCATCAAATAAAACAGGATTGTTTCATCAGTGATGTGCATATCAACCAGTGCTGATTTTAGGTCTAACACAAGATTTAAAATTCCCACAAATACACTGGGCTTACATCCAATTCCTCAGGTCTCCAGTAAACAGATGCTGTCTGGGAAAGACTTGTGGGCACTCCTGGGTGTGTGGGCCTCGGTACTAACACAACAATCATGTGTAGCCCATGCAACAGTTCATGCCCACAGCATCACTTAATGATGATGCTGAAATAAATATTTTCAATTATTTATTGATAATAACATGAAAACCCTGACAGTGATAAAGATTATGTACAAGGTTCAGATATCAGTAAATGGTGCATAAACATTTAGTTATCAGACTGTATTCACACGTTATATATAACAGCAAAGAAAACCATGTTTTATTATTCTAATATTGTGGTGTGGATATTAGTTACACGAATATATCTGTGTATGCTGATGTTCTACATGTTCTGTGATATAAATAATAGTACTGTATTGACAGCTCAATGTATCCTTGCAATAGAAAAATCATGATATAAACACAAAAAATATGAGGAAAATATACTGGAAACATGACTCCACAGAGGAGATAGCCAACCAATTGCACTGATGTTGCACATCAATAAAGTTTAGCGAGGTGTCGAGAGCCCACATACTAGTTTGATGGGAAAGAATGCACTGCATGACGGAGGTCCATCTGGCTTTTCCATTACTTACCTGTTGATCCCTTCGATGACAGAAAGGCCAGGGCTTGTGATGGCGTGTTTATTTTATCTGACCAGTTTTTCTCCAGATGTATCTCAACCCATACACTTTTGTGAATTTTTCCCATTTGATTTGTTAACTTTTTTAGACAGCCACACCTTGATGTATTACTTTTAGATAGCTTCACTATTTAGCGATTAAACTGTAGATTGTTAGTATGTGAACAGTATATGGGTTATGATGAGGAACTATGCTCGGTAGAAGCAGTTTACAAGGAGAGAGCTAATGTATTTGTTTATACAGTACTGTATGTCTTTATGACATACTCTTAATTTCTTGTCAACTACACTGCTTGCCCATATTAGGTCATAAACTTGTATCTTAATTGGTATTTCATGGCTTGTATAAGGCTATAAGCATTTTGTCCATCTTATATAGTTGGCATTGAGACAGTGGTCATCTGATACTTAATCGTTACATATACCTAATTTGTAAACTAATGCATTTTAATTTTTCCCACAGGTAATCACCAATAAGGCCCAGAAAGGAAAGTACAAATTCCTGCAGAAGTACTACCACAGAGGTGCCTTCTTTTTGGACCAAGAAGAAGAGGTCTTCAAGCGAGACTTCTCTGGTGCAACTCTTGAAGATCACTTTGATAAAACAATTCTCCCTAAGGTAAATAGATCATACCATTAGAAGTATTCTTCTAAAGTAGTCTTTGCAGTAGCTTCCATAAATGTGTAGAGCTTTATTTTCAGGCACGATGGTTTAACTTTAGACATACCAGGACAGAATGACTGTTTTTATATACTCTTAATACCTTATTAGCTGCCTTTTTTTTAACATTAGCCTGAATATACAAAGTATTGTACAAGGGGAAATACAAAAAGAAAACACAGTTTTGTGTAAATTTCATGAAGGACATGCATAGGGAAGTGTTTTTGTTGGAACCTGAGTGTTGCTTAATGCCTGTACAGTATATCTCAGTTGCCTTCAAATGGAGAAATATTTACTAATGCACTAAGCAGATGGCCGAGTGGCTGGTGGTGGGGAAAGGGAGAACAGACACGTTGATAGTGAGGCTACACCTATAGCTACACACTACGGGTTATAATTAAATCAGTATTGTTTTATTATTTTATTATGAACAATGAAAGCCACCCCCATTTAATTTGATAAAGTATTATGATTTAATGAGTACAAAATTACAAAAATAATAGAAGAAAATTTGAACACTGGTGTTGTACAGGCTCCTATAGGCCAAACCCAAAGATTTATTCATCAATTTTACCATACTGCTCATTCAATATTTGTATTTTCTCAAATGTAAGGGACAGTAATATTATTTCATGATAGAATGTGCTGAATAATTAGGCCTAACCTAAGTTAGGTGGTAGAGTTCTGTTGGCATTATTGGTATTTGCAGTACGTGAATGAAGCATTTATAGAGGTGTGGTTTGAGCAGAGTATGTAAACGAAGCACTCCTCGAGAAAAATACATATGTTATCAGTTGTGAGTCATGTGTAAAGTGTTTTTCATTTGTAAACAGGAAGTTTGGTGCCTGGATTAATGAGCATCAACCATTTGTACTAGGGGATTCAAGCTAGTTTTGAGTGAGCCATTTGTTTTGAATGAATCATATACCAGCCTATCCTCATAAAACAAAGGCCAAAAGTGATTCCATGCACCCACACTTATGAATGAAAAAGGGTTTACACACGACTCACAACTGATGATATTCGAACACTTCTCGAACAGTGCTTCACTGACTACTTTTGTTCAAACCACAACGCTGTGAATGCTTCACCCACGTACTACAAATACAAATAATTGCCAACAGAATCTAAACACCTAACTTAACCTAACCAATGCCTAAATATGCTAATATATAGTCATAATATTATAGTAATTTAATACCTGTATTTGAGAAACTTTCTATTTTGAATGACCAGCATGTTAAAATTTATGAATGTGTCTTTGGGGTCGATCGCTGAATAAAATGAACATAGACTGAAGATGGGTTGCATTTGCAAGGGTGGTCATTTGGGTATTTTAGTGCTTCATTTTCTGTAAATCTTGCTGTTGGCTGTATTGCTTCAGTTACTTTCTGGATCTATTCCCAATGTGGGTGATCATAGCACTTCGCAGCTCTCTGCGCATCTATGAGGGGAGCCAGGTTCTGGCTTTGATCCCCATTAGGCCATACAGGACACGTGTGACTGATATGACACAGTAATGTAAAGCCATCTCGGCGAGATAGCTTCAAGGAGCCACTAGGGCTCCACCAGATAGAGGCATTTGATTACGTTCAATACTTTTGTTTTGTTTTTTGTACATTCAGCTCATAGTTATAAGTACACTACAGTACTGTCTATTATGGATGATAGGTTGTATCATTGTATTAAACTTTTTACACTACTCTGGTTTAAAAATACAGTACCTCTTCTTTCCCACAGGTGATGCAAGTAAAGAACTTTGGACGCTCAGGACGCACCAAGTACACTCATTTGGTTGATCAAGATACAACCTCGTTTGACTCTCCGTGGGCTTCAGACTCTCAGATGAACCACAAGTTCTTCAATGCCAATGCAGGAGGCATGAAACAGGTATATGATCGGCCAGCACTAAAGAAGCGGATACCTGCCACACCCACAAACAATGCCAACCCGCGAAAATAGATAATTCTCAGTGCAATTAAATGACATAAATATTAATATTACCGTATTACATCCAATTAATTTTTTGTAAGAAACTGTCTTGACAAAAAATAGGAAAAAACATTTTTTATTAGAAATTGCCCTTTTAGACAAACTATTATTTTTGTGAATTGTCATTGCTTAGAAATAACATAGTTTGTCCTTTATATAATGATCCTTTACACACAACCAAGCAACGTTTTCTGCTTAGGAAATTTTACTTGCTAAAGGAAGATATATAGTGGCCCCTCTGTTTACGAATTTAATCTGTCCCCAGTGACAGTGCGTTACCCGAAAATTCGCAACCTGAAGCGAATTTTTCCATAAGAATAACGTAAATTGAATTAATCTGTTCCACACTCCCAAAAATATTAACTTCAAAATACATTTCATACCTAATTCGCATAAATATTTAGTTCTATAGTCTGTACAAGTTATAGCTTATATTTATTGATGACACTTGTTGGCATATGGAAGATGGTGAGGAGGAGGAGGGGGGGAGGGAGGAGAGGGACTAGGAGAGGTGTTAGTGTTTGGAAGGGGAGTCCCCTACTATTATAAGATCAAGCAGTGATGCCTTCTCCGGGGTATTCTCTATCTCGTACATTTTACCTGCATACCACTAGGAACTGGTTGTGGCTCACTGTTTGTTTTTCTCACTAAAAACCTTTCCATAGAGACTTGTTTTTCCCTATGTTGTAACACTTTGTAGTGAGGCACCACAATGTCATTAAAAAATTTAAGGCAACAGCCTAATACAGCTTGCTCTGGGTGAGTCATTTCAACAAATGTGTGCATTTCTTCCCATAGTCTACACCGCTTCTTAATTGTGGAGGAAGGGATATTCTGTACTGCCTCCTCCTTCTCTGAAGAAATTTCCTCAGCTGCCTCTTGTTGCTGCTCCTTGTGAAGGGCTAGGATTTCTTCGGTGGTCAGTTCCTTGCTGTGTTTCCCCACAAACTCTCAAAACGCTATCAATGCCACTTCTTTTTCTGAATTTCTCAAACCATCCCCTGCTCACTTTAAACTCTCTCGTATCTGCATCACTCGTTCTAGGGTTTTTCTTTATAAGATCTTCATGCAATAGCCTTGATTTTTCACAAATGATAGCCTTTGAAACTAACTCCTAACTCCTAGCACTAACTGTTATCACTAGCTAACTCCTTGTTGTGTATTCAAATTAATAACAACTTTTCAACATCCTCAAGTGTTTGTGTTCTTTGTTTCGTGATTGTTGTTGAAACACCTTTTGCCAATTTAGTACTCATAATGTCCTTTCTCTTAGCAATTACAGTGCATATCGTTGACATAGATTTGTTGTACTGCCTAGCTAGTTCGACAGCCCGTGTACCATTTTTCATGTTTATGAATGATCTCTTGCTTTTGCTCAATGGTCATCCTCACATGCGTTTTCTTAGGTTGAACCTTACCACTGACTTTTTTTGGACCCAAGGTGTGATATACAATTATTACTTTTATGTTCAAAACCCAAAAAATCTGAAAAATAACGAAATTCTTTACAAATCATTCATGCGCGATCGTCACTAAGCGGGAGGCACCGGTCAACCATGCCACCAGGAACCACCCATATGCGTATCAGCAAACTACGTTACTCGAGGCAAAGTTTGTAACCCGATTCACATTTTATGAAGAAATTGGGCTCATAACCCGAAAAGTTTGTAAAAAGGGGCATTCGTAAGCTGAGGTGTCACTGTACCATGTTGTAAAATATTTGTGAATAAATCTACTTTTAAGAATAATGTTTCATTTTCATGTGTGGTATTTTGTAAGCAAGAAATTATTGTGATATTGAAACTTTATATTGTACTTTGCAACCCCCAAATTACCGGTACAGTTCTGTACTCCACTTGCTAGATTCTCTGGCTAAATAGAAATATACAGTACTTTACTACAAAACCAGTTTATTAAATTAATTGATCAAATTTATCTTCACCGACTACTTCCCCAGTAATCTGCTTGTCTCAATGGCAGCCATCCCTATTTAACAAAATCAACAGAAATGACCTTATCTATGCTGACCATATGAACCTGTCCAAACTATCTCATCTTAAAGTGAATGACAAAAGACATGCAGTACTGTACAGTGTTTATTAATGCAAGAATCTATAAATAAGACAAGAAACTTGTGTGTATCATTGAGTGACAGATGACAACCTGCCTTGCTTGTACTGCACTTGGTAAAATGGCTCTGAGTTAAGTGCTGTTGACATCACCGCTACCTTCCCATACCACTGCATTTATTCGCATTTTATTGACACTGGATCTAACCATTATTTTATCATAAGTAAAATAACATGAGAAAAATAAATGTTTGAGTAACCTGTTGGTTGCTACCTTCTCCTTTTGTTACTCTTTCCTGTCATTTATGTCTTAGCCTGCCAACAACACAATAGGCTGCAGATTGCTCTGAATATTTTTGCTATGAATCCCATTGCAAATCTGCATTACAAGTTTTGATGAGACTGGCAGGCTCTCTCCTTGACTCATTTTGGGAAAATGACAACGATGCCCATAGCTAGGTAATGTTTACTTCAGTCTGGACCAAATATATGCTGTCCCATCCTACATAATGTCAAAGCCTTCTTTTGATAATTACTTACTTGCATAATATGAAAGACAGGAAAAAGTAAAACAATGATATGAGATTCATAAATATAATGTGAATTTTACATGTACTGTATTGTATATAATTCTTTTGGCTGTCCTTAAGGAATTACTGTAATACTAGAGTGGCAGGCCGATGGCCACCATCACTGCCCTCACAACTGCTGCCTCCTTTTGTTATTAACACGCAATCAACATTTCTAAACTAGAGTATTTTTATCATAACGATACTGTAGTTATGTACTGTACTGGACTAAAGTCAGTACTGTACATTTATGATGTACAGTACCTACTTTATATAATGCTAGGAGCAATCAATTAGATAGTAAAATTATACCTTATTACCAAGAGAAACTGTTTTGGTAGATGTCTCCGATTGCAAAAAGCTGACTGTTAGATAAGGTTTATATCATCCTTTGAGTCAAATAAGCTTATCCAAGCTATCTCCCCTTGAAGAAATTGAAGTTTGGATGAAACAATTTTTATTATTTCAGGAATCGATAAAAACTGGGAAAATTTAAATTGTTATAGAAATGTTGGTGTGTTTGGGATGCCTGAAATACCTTCCCTCCAGCCTTATGACTATAAGACTGTAATACCACTCCTCGACTGTATTACTGTGCTGGTCCCCTGAGTAGCTTCCTGGTGCTTGAAACTGGTACAGAAAGTGTCCCACAACATACCAGGCCTCTGAGATTGTGTAGGCTTACCAGAAATCAGAATCAGAATTTAGTTTAATGATAGAAGTGGGGGGAACTTGGATGGGGTGATCAGAGATTCACCAAAAACAAAGACAAATGCTCAGAAAGTTAGTTAAATTAAAAGAAACATCTCTTATTTATGAAGGAAAAATAAAAAAGATAGGTTTCTTATAGGTTTCAAATAGTTGGCAGATAGGTCACAACCCTGGCATCAACTGGTAATGGGTCTCCCAAGACCCTGCCACCAGTTGGTAGTGGGTCTCCCAGGACCCTGCCACCAGTTGGTAGTGGGTCTCCCAGGACCCTGCCACCAGTTGATAGTGGGTCTCCCAGGACCCTGCCACCAGTTGGTAGTGGGTCTCCCAGGACCCTGCCACCAGTTGGTAATGGGTCTCCCAGGACCCTGCCACCAGTTGGTAATGGGTCTCCCAGGACCCTCCCACCAGTTGGTAATGGGTCTCCCAGGACCCTGCCACCTTTAGTGAGTACACAAATTTTATATACATATAGTGTGTGTGTGTGTGTAAGTAAGTAAGTAAGTAACAATTGCATTGTGCTTGACGTAGGCAGGACAGGCCAGGGACTCGCCAGGATTCGTGGCGAGTCACGGAGGATAATGTCGGAGTGTACCTGCTGGGCCATCAGAGGCCCTCGGCGACCTTGACGGCCAGCAGGAAACTCACTTCATTTCATCTGATGAGTTTTCCCGTATGTATCGTTCAGGTGAGCATTAGTTTTCCTACACCTGGGCTTCAGCACGGAACTGCTTTACTGGTTTGTTTTCTCTGAGAGACGATTCTTGGTGTGTTTAATTAGCTAGGTGTAGTTACAGGATGAGGGCTGCGTTCGTGGTGTCCCGTCTTCCCAGTACTCTTTGTCGTATAACGCTTTGGTTGCGTTATACGCAACGACTTAAAACACTGACGGTTTTGGCCTCCACCACCTTCTCACTTAGCTTGTTCCAATCGTCTACCACTCTGCTTACAAAAGAAAAATTTCGAATATTTATTCGGTTCCTTTGTTTCCTTAGCTTGAATCTGTGTCCTCTTGTTTTTGAAGTTGCTGGTTTCAGGAATTCCTTTTTGCCTATTTGGTCGATCCTTGTTAGTATTTTGTAAGTGGTGATCATATTGCCTTTTTTCTTCTATTTTCTAGCTTTGGCATATTTAACACCTCTAGCCTCTCCTTGTAACTTATTTTTCAGTTCCGAAAGCATTTTGTAACGTATCTTTGCACCTTTTCCAGTTTATTGATGTGCTTCTTGAGATATAAGGAAAAAAATGTGTGCGCGCGCTCAACTATTTGTGCTTACAGGATCGAGCACTGGCTCTCGGGCCCCGTCTTTTTAGCCGCCGGTTGTATAATGCAATAACTCCTGACCTATTTCCCAATCATATCTACTTTTAAAATTATGGATGGAGTTTGCTTCTACAACCAACTCCTTTAGTTCATTCCATTTCAACTCTTACGCTAAAAGAAAACTTTCTAACATGACTCGTCTGAGTCTTAAGCTTCCATTAATGTCCTGGTATTTTGTATTTATTTATATATATACAATAACTCACATCTAGTTGTGCTTGCGGGGGTTGAGCTCTGGCTCTTTGGTCCCGCCTCTCAACTGTCAATCAACTTGTGTACAGATTCTTGAGGCTACTGAGCTCTATCATATCAACATTTGAAACTGTGTATGGAGTCTGCCTCCACCACATCGCTTCCTAGTGCATTCCATTTACAAACTACTCTGTGTGTGTGTGTGTGTGTGTAACATTTTGTCTGTTTCAATAACATTTTGAAACTACTGACGGATTTGTCCTCCACCACTTTCTCACTTTGGTGAGAACCAGTTGATTGTACAGTTGAGAGTCGGGACCAAAGAGCCAGAGCTCAACCCCCGCAAGCACAAATAGGTGAGTACTTATTGTCTGTGTGTGTGTTTGCGCTTTGAACATTAACATATTGTTTACTTTGCGAATTCCGTTATTAATCATGTATGTCAATACCATGTCCCCGCTGTGCCCTTTATCTTATAGTCGTAACGGCTTAGTGCTTTCTCCTGATAGTTCCCTTCCCTTCCCGTGTGGGTGAGACGCAATTCTCAGTCTCTCCTGGAAGCTAAGTACACTCAACTTTTATGTCCGTGCCACCTGAGTCAGTAACAGACAGACGAGCCTAATAGTGTGCTTCATAAAGGAAAATGACTGTGCAATAAAATAACCTCACAATCGTGACAGTGGATAAATAAAACTAGCGGAAACGAAGCCCTTGTTGATGGCCATCAACTGCAGCGGAAGCAGGAGAGAAGATAACGAGGCCTTGTGGGATACTCCGTCACCACAACCTACTGTGGACTTGTCTTTCTCTAATATATTAATTTTGAAATTGGTAACTGGATACACAACTATTATCTTCCAGTTACCCGTTCCATTTATTTGGGACTTATGCAAAAAAAATGTTCTTCCTGATATCTTTCCGGGTCATCTGGGGCTGGCCTTGGAACATGGGTAATCACTTGGAACATGGCCCCCTATATCCACTATATATATATATCATGTAGGTAATCATCTCTCTCCTGCTTCTGCTTCCCTCCAGTGTCGTGAGGATGAGTTCTCTCACCCGGAGAGAACTCATCCAGTGTCGTGGTAGATGAGGCTCCTCGGCTTCAGCACTTAAGTCCAGTGTCGCTGGAATTTATCTTGTTTCATTTTGTGCTTTTTTAGGTGTGTGTACACATATGAATGAGTGCACACTCATGAACGCTCGCACAACTGATGCACAGACATGAACACGTTCATACACACAAACACATTAACGCATTCAAACACACATACACATTTAGACCTTGACAAACTAAACAAATAAAGCATAACGAATACGAAAGCATTAAATGAAAATAGATGTATTACAATGAAAAGGGTATTGAGAAAACAGTATTAACTCTAAAGGCAAAGTCCTTCACAAGTTTGACACATTTATGAATATTCTTTTTTTTATTAACAAGCTTAGGTATAGACAGCAATGTGGTGCTACCCTATTCTATATGAAAGATTACAAAGTGTATATAATAAACCAACTTCAAGCTCAACCAACATTCCCACCTCACAGGACGACCAGGCATACATGGATTCGGAGAGAACATAAAATGTAAGGCTGTTCTATTAGCCCCCACTAGCAAAATCTGGGTACAGCACAAGAATATCAATCTTCCAATCTCAAGATGGAGGAAATTTTTTTTTTTAATTTTCAGATCCAAATAGGAGTGTGCAATTGTGGTATGATTCTATCTCCTGAAGTAAACATATGTGTACAAATTAAAGACATGTTGAAAAGCACGCAAATAACTGTATACAAGTATTAAGAAATACGAGGCTAAAGGAAAAATATTGTTTTGGATCTTCTTGAGTACAAGTTGATCTTCTCATATTGGAAAACAACATTTTTGTTATAGGACTATATGAAGGGTTACAAAGTGTGTGTCAAGAACTAGCTATGAAATGATAAGAAATCCCCATCTCGCAGGATTGGGAAGCATGTGGTCAGTAGCTTGCACATGCAAACTTTGGAAGCATTATGAGGATATCCTCGAAAACACGAGAGTGAATAATATTATTAATAAAGCTCCAGGTACCTCATATACCGGCAGGTTTGAAAGGTCTGTGACTGGATACTCAATTATCTAGTGTGTGAAATCATGTCTGAGTTCTTATTCACAGGCTTTACACATGAAATGTTCTGGTTTGAGAGACTCGTTCCTTGTCGCCATGTACCACATAGCTGATCCTGGCAACCACTAATCGTACTGTCTGGTGGACGTTTTGTGCTTCCCATATACATGGGCTTCAGATTTAAACAAATCATAACTTTTTACACTAATGTTTACAGGTTTTAAGAGTTTGTGATTTCTCTCCTATCATACCTGAATGTTTGGAACATTATCCTAATTGTTGAGACAGAGATACGTAGGTCTAGTTCAACTTCGTCTTTGTTGCACGCTAATTTGGTTGCAAATGTCTGGGTTACCATGATGAGTTATATATATATATATGTGGGATGGAATCTACACAAAATATATTTTTTAAACCTCTTTATTCTGTGCACTGAGAAAGTTATTTATAATTGTTGATATAAGGTTTTAGCTGTCTTTTTTGTAGAAGTTTTTATGTGCTTGAAGAGCAGACTTTCATCACAGAAAATAACTTCTCTTCTGATGTTTTTTTTAGTGTACTAGTAGCTAGTTATAATGCAACTAGTTCTGTTAGTGTAGAGCTCAGCCAGCTGTTTAACGTAAGATTTATATGCTGCGTACAAATATTATTTCTATAAAGCCTACAGGCTGCTGCAGTGCGTCCTGTTGATGATGGCCTGTGGCAAGGGTGAGGGCCTGGGGCATGGGTGTAGGCCAGGGGCATGGGTGTAGGCCAGGGGCATGGATGTAGGCCAGGGGCATGGGTGTAGGCCAGGGGCATGGGTGTAGGCCAGGGGCATGGGTGTAGGCCAGGGGCATGGGTGTAGGTCTGGGGCAGGGGTGTGGGCCTGGGGCCAGGGTGTGGGCCTGGGGGAATAGATGTAGGCCTGGGGCATGGGTGTAGGCCTGGGGCATGGTTGTAGGCCAGGGGCAAGGGTGTGGGCCTGGGGTATGGGTGTAGGCCTTGGGGCATGGGTGTAGGCATGGGGCATGGGTGTAGGCATGGGGCATGGGTGTAGGCCTGGGGCATGGGTGTGGGCCTAGGGCATGGGTGTAGGCCTGGGGCATAGGTGTAGACATGATGCTCCTAAGACCTCAGCCTTTTAATACAGCAGACGATTATTTAAAGTGTGACAGCTTTTTGAATAGCGGAAAAGGAAGGATAATTCTAACCATGTGCAGTTCTGTACGATATAAGAAGAACGAACAGGAGTACTAGACAGACCTTCGTAAACCACAACACATGTATAAATAATACTAGGAATATTTTCTTCAGTAAAAGTTGCAGATGAAATAAACTCTAAAATGATATGTGTACTCTAACCCAATATAGAAGTGTCGCAATTATATATGTTAAAATATGCAAAGATGACTGGACACTAGGAGCCTTACCCTCCTCCTCCTCAGACTATGAATGAATAACAATAGGAAAACAAATGTTGGTGGTACGCACACACACACACACACACCTACACGAGGCCAGGTGGAGGCGAGGAGGCAGGTTAGTGCAAGGTTAACACTGGTGGTGCATGGAAGTGTTGTCGAGTCTGGCCGTGAGGACCTCCCTGTGTTAGTATAGACTCATGGAGAGCTCAACGGAGGTGGCTGCTGGCGGGGTCGTCCCCCTACAGGGCACCAAGCTTGGATGGCCCGATGTCGTCGTCATTGTCATCTACTTCGTCGTGGTCTTGGGCGTGGGACTGTTTGTGAGTATAACAAGATTCGCCGGGCATTTTCTCCTCAACCGTGAGACGTCAACATATCTCTCTTAAGCCTCCTTCAGCGATGTTATACCACAGTTATATGCCAATACTGTTCTCCCTTCGTGGCGTGGGACTCCTCGTAAGAAAGTTGGAGACAGTGGGTTGCGGGTGACAGTGAGTGCATTAAGGTACACGGTACCATGCAGGGATCTGAGCGTATAACGTGTAATTACTGTGATGGGTGCGTCAGGTTCTTATAGGTGTGACCATTGGTGACTGGCAGTGCCGCGGTGAGTGGTAGTTATGTGGTGGTCACTGGTATAGTTGCTAGTAGTGTTATGGTAGTTATTTAGTGGTGGATGGTGGTAATGCAGTGGTGAATGGTAGTAGTGTAATGGTGAAGGAAGAGTAATAATTATAATAATAATTACAACAATTATTATTATAATAATAATATAACTAATTAATAATTATTACTCTTCCTTCTGCTTGATCTTGAAGGAAGCCGGCCTCGGGTGAAAGAGGGCTGTGACGATCTCTGTCTGGAACCCTTAGGTGGGGGACCTGGCCGTCCACCTCCTGGGGCTCGTGCAGCCCAGGCTCTGCTTCAGGAGGCTGGGGTCGTTCTTGCCCTTGATGGGGTCGTTCTTGCCCTTGATGGGGTCGTTCTTGCCCTTGATGGGGTCGTTCTTCTCCGGCCCCGACCACGGCGATCTCCGGGTTTGGAGTCCCTCGTGCCTTCTTTTACCAACTTCCAGGTTAACTCCGGAACTGAAGCCTCTAGGGCAGTTCGTTGTTGCCTTCAACCTCGTTCTGACAGTTCCGGCGCTGGAACTAATCGTATTGACTTTTGCTTTTCTATTGGAGACTTTCGGCGCCGTGGAGAGGGGGGGGGACCTGCTGCATGGGTAACAGTTTCTCCTCTATATCAGCCTACCCTGGCTTTGCGCCCTGCAGAGGCCACTCCAGACCGATAACCAGAGCGCAACTCCATAGTCTCCTATGACTGATGGATGCCTACTTAGTGGAATGGTAGTAGTGCAGTGGCGAATGGTAGTTATGTAGTGTTAAGTGTATAATAGTAGTAGCCAATGTAGGGTGATGAATGGTAGTAGGCAGTAGTCCACCACAACTTTCACTGCTCTGTAGTGGTGAAGAGGAGTTGACTGAAGTGAAGTGGCGAATGATAATAACTAGTAGGGTAATGAAAGATAGTAGTTGTGTAAAGTAATGAACGGTAGTGGCTAGAAGTGTAGTAGTAGCCAGCAGTGTAGTGATGAATATTAGTAGCTAATAGTGTAGTAGTGGTGAATGGTAGTATCTAGTAGTATATAGCGGTGACGTTAAATGTAGTGGTGGCACTGGCAGGTTGGCAGTCCTGGTGCAGAGTAGTAACGGGTTCTCACGCATGCAGCCTCATCACTAGAAATTGAAAGTTGACAAGACGAGGCTCTTGTGCTCAGGTTCTGGTAATACGTTATCTACGTCCTAGAGATATCTTTTAGTATGATTTCCGCCACAGTTTAGGCCTAAAGTTTGTAACCTAAAGAAGCAAGATTAGTGCTAATGGGTATTATGTTAAGACAAGGTCGCTACGTCTCCAGGGATTTTCCCAGAGAATTTTGCTAAACATTATTGCAGTATTTTGTGCCACATTTTCTAGAAAATTTTTCCTTCCAATAAATATTTAGATTTTGAGGGTCCAATTCCTGTTGGACCAACTGCAAGGAATGCTAAGCATTTTTTGAAAAGTTTGTTCTTAACTATAAAAAGTTAATTCTTCTCTCACATATTTAGTTTCTTTTTTAATAGCTTGTACTCTGTGAGATTTAAACATGAAAAGCGTTGAATGACAAATAGTTTTGGCTTCTGACTACAGTCAAATTCAAATAAATTACATTAAACTTAAAATTACATGTAAAATAATAATTAGACCAGAAATGAATTGAAATTGAAATTGAAATAAGTTTATTGAGGTAGAATACACACAAAGGGATGAGGTAGCTCAAGCTATTCTCACCCCGTTCAGTACATCGTGTTAATACATACATAGACACACATCACAAGCAATAAACGTATTACCGAACATTCTGAGAGATAAACATATACATTTCCTCCTTTACACAAGTAGTATGGTAACCAGAAGTGAATTTTGTTGATAATTAGTGCGGTAGATGACTATGATATATTGGCAAGAAGCTTTGTAAAATTAGGAGCTGAATGGGATATGACTGAGCATACACTAAAAGCCAGCCAAGGAGTACGGAAATTCCTATCTGTACATTCACCGGAATACCCCCAATAGCTTGTTTGTGTGTTGTCCCACTAGGAACCCCTTCCCCGGGCGCTTTGACGTCAAGAGTCTCATGAGCATAGTAATTACTATGCCCATGAGGCATAGTAATTGCCCATGATCCAACTAATTTATACATGTGACATTGTTCGGTACACAGATCTACTGCTTCTGGGCCTGTAAGCCTTCGGTAGCTGTATATTATTATTATTTTCTTATGAATTGTAGTTGTCGGGTAACTTAATTAACGTGAGCTTCAAGTTTTTATATTGGCTAAGCTTAGAGCCACAGATTTTACTGGGTTAAACATTACTTATATTTAATTATATTGCTGTCGAGTATGTAGGCTCAGATGAGCGTTTGATATTTTTGCTTTAGCAATAATAAAACTAAGGATAAAATGCTTATACATAAATGGTATTATTATTATTATTATATCTTACTCTTTTTCCTGATCATTATCATTCACCGTATGAAGGGTTTATAATCGATTTTGATAACATGCTGTTATGCAGTTATGTTTTGTTCACATGCATAACAGCATGTTATGCATGTGAGTTGAGCCTCTAGGAGTTGATTGGACAATACCTAACAAAATACGCTTTACTCGTGAAGAATCGCAATAAAGTGGTGACTACCACTGGTAGTGATAGTGACTAGTGACCATTAATGGAAGGGACAGTGACTGGTGACTGCCACTGGGAATGGCAGTGAGTACCGCTGGAGGTGACAGTGACACCACTAGGAAAGGGAAGGGAACTATCAGGAGAAAGCGATTGATTGACTGATGACGAATAAGCCACCCAAGTGGTGGCACGGGCAGAGAAAGCGCCAAGCCATTAGTTTTGGCTTGGAAGCCATTTAGCACTTGGAAGGGATCAGGATAAGGTTTTGGGATGGGACGGTGGGGAAGAAATGGTGCCTTACTACTCGGACGGTCGAGGATTGAACCCAGACCTGCATGAAGTAATACCGTCGCGCCCAAGTGGTTGGACGACCACCACTAGGAGTGACAGTCACTAGTGACCTCCGCTGGGAGTGACTAGTGACCACTCCTTGGGAGGGAGGGAATTATCAAGGGAAAACGCCAAGCCATTACGACTATATAGCACTGGGAAGGGTTCAGGATAAGGATTTGGGATGGGACGCGCGGAAGGAATAGTGCCCAACCACTTGAATGGTCGGGGATTGAATGCCGACCTGCATGAAGCGAGACCACTCCTTGGAGTTACAAGGACTACTGACCACTACTGGGAGTGACGGTGACCACCACTGGGAGTGACAATGTCTAGTGCAATAAAGCCATGCACCTGACATTGAGGTTCAGTGTGAATCAGAGACCGAGGTCCTGGCCATGCACTAGGCTACAGCGTCCTCCGGTACATTATATACATACTGTTGAGATCGCCATACATCAGGAATGCTCCACTTTGCAATAATAATACGTAACCTATTGAGTGGAATTGAATTTATTGAATATTGTAATGTCAAGAAATGAGGAGTGGCTTACTTCAAATATGTATAATCAAAGGGTATGATAATCTTTGGTTAAGGAAATTTAATTTGAATATTGCCTAATCAAACTTAACGAACAACAATGGTTGAGTAATTATAGGCAGTCAATTTTATATCAATTAAGCAAAATATGTTGTCTATTCGAATGGCAAACATATGGATAAATATTATCTAAAGTGATACACAGGCATACCTTGTGTACATTTTATTGTCATAAACAGGATAAGTAATTTCCGTCACAGTCGCGCCTCATATTGTGCAACCATCACCACCACAACCACCACCGCCACCCCTAGTAGTACCATAGCACTACCACTGCCACCAGTATCAGCACCACCACTACCATTATTACACCACCACCACCTCCACTTCCAACAGCAACACCAACGTTAACAGCATCACCTCCAACATCGGCATCTCCACCTCCGCCACTACCAACAGTAGCACCACCACCCCCATCAATAGCAGCACCTTCACCACCAACAGCAGCACTTCCAGCTCCACCACCACCAAAGGTACCTCCACCACCACCACCAACAAGAGCATGTTGTTTAAGATACGCTACTTGGAACAAAAAGTTCCAAATAGCACGGGCTATGGTGAGCCCGTAGTAGACTTACCTGGCACAGGAGAGGGGCTGTAACTTGAAACAAGAGCATCAGCACCTTCAATAATAACAACAGTACTACCTTCACCTCAACAAGTGCAATGTACTGAAAGAAATTGTGAAAACCACCTCCATCCATAGCTTTAAGGCCAAATTTGTTAAAGTATTTGTACGCCAGAACTGCTAACTTATAACGCACTAGATACAAGCCGGGGCGCATCCGATCCCACGATCGTCGTCGCCCCTAAATCAACACAACAACAACAACACTAGATACAACAGGGTTAGTTGGTGAGGCATAAAGAGCACTTTCCTGTAATCACCTTTAGGTAACCACTACCACTAACTACCTCTACCTGTTGAGTTATAGTTTAATAATTCTGACGTTCGAATTCTTTGTCGAAAATTGTGGATGGAGGTGGCTTACACAACTTCTTTCAGTTTACTTCACTTTTTTATACAATATAAGAGTATTTCCTTTACATTTCCAGCTTCCACTTATGTCGATCGTCAGAGTAGTTAAATAGTAACGCAAGAGGTACAACAAGGCTAATAGTCGGGGCATTAAGAGCTAGGGCTCACTTCCCC